AGTTTATCGTATAATATTATGGAAGGAGACATAACACTTAGCAGAGTGAACCACCACGCATCATCTTCTCTTGTCTTTTTTTCTGAACACTAAAACTGCAGTTTAAAAAAACAACTTCCAATGGAAAAAAAAAATTAAAACAGCAGGTGATAATTAGGGCAAAGTTACAACAATGTTATTGCTGATGGCCTACCTGTCAGTTAATGCAAGTTATCACTTCTCCCCAGGGGGAGTTATTATTAAAAACAACTTACTTAACGAGGGTTAAAGAAGAGATATTAAATGTATTAGTTTCCTTATTTGCTAATTTGGAAAGGGCATAAAGATAGATCCATTAACTACCTCAGCTGTGTGTCTGGCTTCAACACAGACACACACAGATACACACACACACACAAACTGAAAGTTATAAATGACCAAAACATAAACCTTAGCTGCCTTCAGTTAAAAATCAATTTTCCTAATAAATTAAATTCAAATATTATATACCAGTATGTAATATCAAGAATGATGTGCTAATAATTGCCATGTTGGCAGAGTGCAAGACAGAAGGATATAAAAATTCAGTAATTTAGAAAACTTGGTACAGAAAATAGCTTTCACTAGAGGAAGGCTCAGAGTTAGGTTGTTGAGCTATGATAGTATTCTCTGACTGGCCAGGGTTGAATGTTCAAAATGTGATTTGAGTGTTAATCATCTATTTGAATAAAATAACTCGAGAGACTGGAGAGACTCTCATGGGTTAAGTAGTTTGTTCCTGAACATGATGTTTCTCCTTTTGTGTATTCTAGAATCATTGGGAGTTTTGCTTGCTAAACAAGCAACTTCTTTTGGATTTTTTTGTTTTTAGCTTTACTCATTTGTCAATTGTAATCTCTAAGGCAAAGAATTTACCTCAGCTTTGGCTGATATGAATTATGAGCTCATTCATACCACCCATATCAAGTTTTAAGCTTTATCTTTCATTTTACCCAGTAAGAAATCTGATATGCTATGTTTTACATTGGTTTGCTATTTGGTATTCCATCATATCCACACTGAGTAGAACTGTATGAATCAACCCCAGCTTATTTTTCCATTCTACTGTTGATGAGCATTTGGGTAGTGTCATTAATACATGAAAAAATGAAATATCATATTGGCACTCGTTTGCATAGACACGGCATTTTAAAGTTTTGTATTGAAGTATAATATAGAGATGTATATATCATAATAACATAACTAGACAAATTTTTACATATCAAACATACCAGAACCAAAAAATAGAACACAACCAGGTTCCCAGAAGCCCTCCTTGTGCTCCCTCTCAGTTGTCATCTCCTGTCAAGGGTAAGCACTATCCTGGCCTGTGTGAGTTTGTTTGTTTGTGTATTTTGTACAAATGGATTCCTCCAAAACTTATTTTCATGTGTCTCAGTTTTTCCACCTACCATAATTGGGAGATTCATTTGTTATTGTAAATTGAGAAGGTTGCTCATTCTTAATGTCATAGCATATGTTCTGTTGTATGAAGAATCTACACCAATTGTCCATTTTACTGTTGATGAACATGTGGATCTTTTCCAGTTTGGGGGTTATTATGAATAGGGCTGCTATGAGCAGTTTAATATGTATTTTGGTAAACATCTGACATTGGTGCATTCCTAAGAACGGAGTTGCTGGGTCAGTGGGCTTCCATATGTTTAATTTTAGTGGATGTCTCCAGTTTTTTCAAAGTGATTGTACTAAGTACACAGCATTTGACTGTTTTTTTTTTTTTTTTTAACTGGGGCACTTTACCACTGAACTACATCCCCAAACCTTTATTTATTTTTTTTAATTTGGAGACAATGTCTCCCTAAATTGTGCATGTTGACCTTAAACTTGTGATCCTCCCACCTCAGCCTCCCCAATCTCAGTGAGATTACAGGAAACTGCTCCTGTGACTGGCAAGCATTTGACTTCTTGAAGAAACATTCTAGGGAAGATGTTTCAGCATAACCACTAATAGAACAAGTTTTGGAGTCACTCAGACCAAATTTAGCCTACCTCTAAACTGCTGTGCCACCTTGGACAAGATACTTAACTTTAAGCCTCAGTTTACTTAACTGTAAAATAAGTGCAGTATAATAAAGTCTTCGTTAAAATCTGTGACAATTGGGGTTTTTTAAAAAACCTTGTATTCTATTTATTTATTTTATGTCGTGCTGAGGATTGAACCCAGGGCCTCACACGCACTATGTGAGAGCACTCTACCGCTGAGCCACAACCCCAGCCCCAACAATTGAGATTTTAATGCACTTTGGATAATGCCTAACTCATAGTACATTCTTAGCTTATAACATGGTAGTTATTAATCATTTGTTAGTGATTCAAACAGACAAAATGGAGAATTAGAAACAAATATTAGCAAACTAATCCACAAATAATTTTAATTCTGATAGAAAAAAACTGAAATTCTGACCCAAGAAAGGTATTACCAATTCCAGTGAGTACTACACTTGCACCCTGAAAAAAATCATTTAAACGTTATCCAAAAATGCATTTGCAAATTACTCTTGCCAGAGGCAAGGTTCTTGGATGCAGAGCATTACCATCCATTTTTTTTCTACCAGATATTACTCTTTAAAGCCAGGACTGCCCAGGGCTACTCTGGAAAGTCACTAATATAATACCTTTTATTATATTTGCCAATTTCACACCTTCCTCAGTCTAATCCCCAAAGTTGTTGAAAAGTGACTGTAATTGGGCCATTAATTTATAGTTTTCTTGGAATCTTGTATCTAAGACAACTTTTGGATCCCTAAAAATGAGTCCAGCTCCTTGCTTTAAATGACAAAGAGCTTGCCTTTATTTTGTGGGATGAACTTGATGACCTCTTGTTTTCAGCATCCTAGAAGTTAACACAGGTACATTCTGTACAGAGGTCCTGTTTAGCCAATTGTTCCAGGAGCTGCAGGCTCAGTCAGCTTAGAGAGGTAATTTTGGAAGGTGGCATTGTGTTTGTTCCTAACAAATTGAATCAGATCCCATATACCAGGCACTATTTTCAAGAAATAAAGCACACGATCTTCTTGAAATTATGTAATTTTTGAGTCAGCAGTGGTAGACCTGAAAGAGCACTTTCTGAACATTTAATTGAACTTCTTTGATTTACAAGATAGAAAATTAGTCATTTAGAAGTCTCGCCCAAGGTCAAAGGGTTTCTTCCCTGTACAAGCATAAAGCTTGACTTCTAATTCTCAGTCCAGACCATCTCTGCAACTGGTATCTTGAATCCCCTGCACCCCACATCATTACTTCCACTCATATTTTAGACAGATGCAGACCTGGGATATAGTGATGGGGAAGCTGGAGTGTAACTTAAAAATAGGGAATGACAAATCATGAACTTTTTTTTTTTTTTTTTTCCAGAAGCGCACGAGGAGAGAGGCTTGCGTGCTCCTGGTAGAGTCCGGGAGCTAGGAAGGCCCTCGGGACTCTATGCACCACGGTAAGCCGGGTTAGTTCTAATCACACTGAAATGGGAAAGGGAGGGGCAGCGTGGGGGATAAAAGAAAAAAAAAAAGCAGCCAGTCAGTCCGGGGTGTGTCGGAGAAAACTCGGTCCTCCGCTGTTTCCTTCCACCTCTTTCCCATAGAACTAATGAGACGCGTAAGCCGGGATTCTAAATTAAGAAGGGTCCTACACAGAGCCTAGAGACCCGGTCACTTCCCTTCCCTTCCTCCCCGAGTGGGCTGTCCCGGGCGACAGGGTGACGGGCGGTGGGGTTCTGGTCGCACGGACAGTGAGGTGCCAAGGGGCTGGTGACGACCCGCGGGATCCTGACCCCGTGGACGGCGGTGGCCCTGCCTCCCTCGGCTCCTCAGGACAACTCTCCACAAGCACCAGCTGCTTTCGGGCGCGGGGACGCGGTGGAAGCCCGCGGCAGCGGCGGCTCCGACGGGTCAAGTTCGCGGCCGCCCGCGCCCCTGGCCACGCTGGAGGCCGCCCGGCGCGGGGAGGCTCGGCCTCGCGCGGCGGCGCCACGTGGGGAAAAGTTTGCAGGAGCGCTGCGGGGCCTCGCGCGGCCGGACGCCCGCTCCCTCTGCGGCGCCCGGTCACGCCCCGGCCCCGAGCGTCCTCCTCCGACCCCACGGGTCGCCCGGGGGAAACGCCCTGGGGCTCCTCGGGCGGGTCGAGGAGCAAGTGTCCCGGGAAGGCGCGCAGTGCGCGCGGAGGGTGGGGGACGGCGGGCGGGGTGCTCCGGACGGCCGCCCCCGCGCGCGGCCCCCGCCGCTCGTCCCACTCGCCCCCCGCCCCCCGCGCGGCGCCCCGCTACCCCCAGTGCGCAGGCCCGGCCGCCCCAGCGCGCATGCCCTGGGATCGCGAGCGCTGCCGGCCCCCAGCCTTCTGCTTTCCACACACTCTACAACTGGGGAGGGGGCGGGGGCGGAGGAGCCCGGCCGCCCACGTGATCCTGTTGGCCGGGAGCGCGCGCCGAGAGGGGCGCGGGGAGGCGGTGGGCGTGAGCGCGCGCGCGGGCGAGGCAGCAAGCGGGCGGGCGGCGCGGGGCTGGGCTGAGGCGGCGGCGGCGGCGGTGGGCCGGCCGCGCAGGGGGAGGAGCGGGAGCGCAGCGAGGCGGGCGGAGGATGGGGCCGTGCCCGGGCTCCCGCTGCAGCCGCCCGGGGACACGCCGTGCACCCTCCGGCTCGGGGCTTCGGCGGCGGCGGCAGCGTTAGCGGCGGCGGTGAGAGTGGCGTTCTTGTCAGCGCTTCTGCCTCGGGCGGTCGGCGCGAGGCGGCGGCGGCTCCCCAGCGGCTCCCGGGGAGCTTTCTTTCTGCTCTGCTTTGCTTGTCGACCGCCTGCCTCGCCCTCCCGGTTTTGGGGAAGGGCGCCCTCTTCTCGGGACCGGGACTCTGTTTTGTGGCAGGGGCAGCGCGGCGCTCCGCTCCCCTCCGGCAGCCCGGGGCCAAGCGCTACCTCAACTGCCCGGCGAGACTCGCCCGCCGCGCGCGGCGCCCCGGGGCACGAGCCGGGCGTTATTATGCGCCCCGCGCTGGGGAGTCTGGCCGCGCCGCGGCCGCTGCCCGGCCCCGGCCGCCGCCGGCTGCGCGGCTCGGACCTCTTGCGGCCCGGCAGTGAGTTTCCTGCGCGGCGAGCGTGAGCAGCGGCGGGGGCGTTCTCCCGCGCCGGGGCGGGCGAAGTTCCGCGCCCCCACTTTGCCGCGACCTTTGCGGGCCCGCCGGCGGGTGCGGGCGGCGAGCGTCTGCGTGGGGCGGGGGGCGCGGCGGGCCGCGGCCGCGGGGCGGGCTCCCCCGAGCCTCCTCGTCTCCCGATCAAAGCATTCCGCTATTCTGATTTATTGCCTGCTCGGCGAGTTATTTCTCTGCCTCCGAAGGAGACCTGTGTGTGCAGCCATTACTTTGCTCGGCGCCGCTCGCAGGCGTCTCGGCCCTCGGTGCGGCGGGCAGCCCCGCACTTCGGCTCGCGCCCCGCGCCCTCGCCGCGGCGCCCTCCCCTCTCCCCGCCCCTTCCCCTTCTTTCTCCGCGCCTTCCTCCTTCCCTCGCCGCCGGCGCTCGGCCGCCGCCGCCCCCGCGCCCTGCTCGGGGCGGAGGGACGCCGTGCCGCGGGAGGGAGGGCTCCGTGTCAATTTTTTTGTGCGGCCGCGGCCGGAGCCTGTGGCGCGCGGGCGGCGAGCGCGGGGACCCCGGCGTGGCAGAGCCATGGATGGCCCGGCTCGGGGCCATGGACTCCGCAAAAAGCGGCGGTCGCGGTCGCAGCGAGACCGGGAGAGGCGCTCCCGGGGCGGTCTGGGGGCCGGCGCGGCGGGCGGCGGCGGGGCCGGCCGGACCCGGGCGCCCTCGCTCGCCTCGTCGTCGGGCTCCGACAAGGAAGACAATGGGAAGCCCCCGTCCTCCGCCCCGTCCCGGCCCAGACCCCCGCGGAGGAAGCGGCGTGAGTCCACCTCGGCCGAAGAGGACATCATCGATGGGTTTGCCATGACCAGCTTTGTCACTTTTGAAGCGCTGGAGGTAAGCGCCCCCTCCCCCCGTCTGCCTTTATGCGCGGCCCCGTTGGCGGCGCCGGGCTCCCTGCCGGGCTCGCCGCGCTCGGCGCTGTCTGTCGGTCTGTCTGGCCCGCCGGGGCTGCCGCGGGCGGGGGCGCGGGCGGAGCGCCGGCGGCGGACTCGCGGAGCCCTGCCCGCCTGCGGGTCTCCGCCTGGCTCGCCTTCCGCGGCGCCCCCTTCCCGCACCCCTCCACAGCGGATGGGCAGAGAGAAAGGGGTGCGGAGACCACAACAATGCGCCCCCCTCCGCGGAGAGCGCTGCCCCTGCCCCTGCCTCCGCGCCCTCCCCAATCATGGCTTCTTGGCTGGTGAAGTCTCTGCTGGGCTTGGGGCGCCTGTGGACCGTTCCCGGGTGCTTCTCCAGAGCCGGTGTCCGCGGTGTCTAGCACACACCTTTTCTGGTGTCCTGGAGCCAGAGACGGAGGGGTTTCGTGGTTTCTTTGCCACCCCCACCGCATTTTTTTTTTAAATTGAAGCTAGGGAAGGGGGCGTTTTCTCCTGTTTGGGAGAAAGGAGGGAGGAGGGGAGAGAAGAGGAAAGGATGGAATATTTTTCTGTATTCCGTGTGGAGCTCTGTTACAGCATGGGTTAATTATAATGTTATCTGTACACATACACATGCCCGTGTGTGTGTACATGAGCAATTTAGTTGAAGGACAGAAAAAGGTACACCAGAGGACTGGTAGGAGGAAAGAATAAAATTCTAGCTGGTTGCTGAAGGGCTTGTCACAATTGTACCTCTCCTTTTCCTTTCCCTTTTTTTGGGGTGTGTGTGTATGCTTTTCCTAAGTGATTTGCTGTGTGTGTGTGTGTGTGTGTGTGTGTGTGTGTGTCTGTCTTTATTCCTTAGGCACCTGCAGGCAGCTTTGGTTTTCAAATGCACATTTTCCTACCGGTTAAGAGGCTTGGGGTGGTGGTGGTGGTGGTGTTCGGAAGATGATACTAGAGCGGGGTCTGTCTAGGGTTCAGGGGAAACTATATTTGCCTGGACAGATCTAATTTGATACTAGGATTGAGCATTGGCCTCTGAATTTTAACTGCCCCCCCCCCATTTCCCTGTCCCTTCCCCCAGTGTTCCGTACCACACACACACACCCCGAATGCTTTGAGACTGCAGAGTTGGTCCAGCTTTCTTAAGCACAAAACCTTTCTTGCACCTAATGTGAAGGTTTGAGAATCCTGAAGGAAAGTTTTCACTTTAATTTTTTTTAACTGTTATTATGGTATTGTTTCAAAAGTACAAATACAAGCTTTTTCGATGAAAGGTTATGTTTTACATATAGTAACTGTACTTCTGTGTATGTGTTCTGGTGTCAGGTTAAAAAAATCTTACTGTTAGCATTGCTCTTTTCTGTGAACTGCTTTTGGTCGAGGTGGTGGTGGATGGTGGACATTGGTTGGGGAGGAAGGGAAGGTGATGATGGTTATTTGGTGGTGACTACAGATTTTGATGTCAGTGATGGAATCAGTTACCCTTTGGTTCTAGAACTGGTGTATTGGCCAAAATTTTGAGTGTTGAGGCTCACCACTTAGGATAATTCTAACCGTGGCTTTAACTTTGCCCAGGTGAATGGGTACTTTGAAGTGTGACTTCTCTTCAAGGTAGAGATTGATATGGCATCATGTATTCCTAAGAGAAAGAATTGCCTAGAATTTGGTTCACCGTTGCTAATTTGTGGTTGGTTCAGGAAAGTACTTGTAAAAGATGGTTACAAGTGGTTCTGCTTTCTTTGTGGTCCCTCTCATTAAGCAAGAATGGCCTCTGGATTCCCATGATCATTTTGGAAGACCAAATAGAGATGGATAGATAGATATAACATGTAATAATTTTTGATTGTTTTATTTTTAGTAAGCTCTCATAGCTAGGCTTATATACTTATGCCAGTTTATAACAATAGCTGTTTGGGTTTGTAAAATATTTATCAATATGCTTGGCTTTTGAAAGAAAATGTGCTCTTTCCGGTTTATTTTGAGTTTGAAAACTTAATTTTTAAATAAGACCCCAAATTAAAAATGTACTACTAATACTGTTTCTTTCCTTGCTGTAGTTGTTTTCTGGTACTTTTCCAGATTCAAAACTCAGGTTACTTTGGTTAGCTGAACCCTGTGTCACCTTCATATCTATATATATATATATCTGTGTGGGTATAACAGGCCTAACTTTTTGAAAAGTTTATTTAAAATTTGGTAGCAAAATGTACACATACACAAAAGTAGACAAGCCGAACATTAATTCTTAATACACCCAACACCAAAGTTCAGTAACTAACAACTCATGTGTTATCACGTTTCTTTCATGGTCCATGTACTTACTCCCTGCTCTCAGATGTGATATCTCATCTGTAAATGTTTGTATATAAATCTCTAAATAAGGACTCAAAAACTACGAAACCCCCACAGTATCATTATCATTCCTAAAGAAATTCACAAGTTTCCAAATGTCAGATATGCTATTACTATTTACATTTTCATAGGTCTAACTTTTGTAGGAAAGCTGTTAATCAACTTTTCATATTAAACACACTGGGGAAAAATATTTGTCTGGTTCTTTAGCAAAAGGTAGATGTGGTGTCTGCTTGGTATCACACAGTGTCCTTTTTGGATAGTCAATATATATATGTGTAGTGATTGTTAAAATAAAACCTCTCATGTTCCACTAATCATTTTGGAAGGTTTAGTAAATTATAAACCAGGAAACATGAGGGCTGATTAGGAAACAGGCAACTAAACTATGAACTTGGACAAAAATGTGTGTTAAGACCATGTTTGTAAATGTTAAGAATTATTATAGAGCCTAAGAGTTACCCTAAATGTATACTGTGTTTTTGAGCCCTGTGTTTAGAACTGAAAACAATTGTTATCACCTCTCACTAAGGCTGCTGCTGGTATGATGCGATGATAAGAAACCAGAAATATTGACTTTCATAGCTAGGCTTATATACTTAGGCCAGTTTATAACAATAGCTGTCAGACTCAAGGAACATACTTCAGGTGTTAATGGACACATTGACTTCATGATTTTGTCTTGAGTAGCTTGATTTTGGGCTCCCTTTTAAAAAACTCATAATGAAATATGTTGACATAAATAATTCCAGTCCAGCTATGATTTTACAGATACTGGAGAGTAAGGAATTAAATGTGTCTAATGAAGGCCTTGATTTTTATGCTGATTAGTTTTACTATTGTTGGAATCTTTTTTTAGATGATGAAAGCTATACGGGTAGTTTGGCAAGTCTCACACCTCATAGACAGTGAAACTGGCTGAGGTAGTTTTATATTCTGCAGGGACATTTCCCTTGAGTAATTGTTCCCTGAAGTTCAAATGTGTGATTATGAAGAATCTGATGATAGAAGATAAGAGGGTAGGTGAGGAGGCTAAAGTTGAACATGGTGTTCTTTTCATTATGTAGTAGAGAAGTGGAATTACCATTTGGGTATGGTATTGTTTAGCTGGAAATTTTTTAAATGACAGAATTAAGAGTGAATATCCTCAGATATGTTTAGGTTTTTTTTTTTTTTTTTACAGTGGGTGCAGCTAAGAACTTACAAATGGTGGAAATATTGGGGTCCTAGTACCATCAGTGCATGCTGATGCACCAGATAATAGAAACTTTTTGATGTTTGGCTTTTTGTGTCATCTCTGTTAAGAGGAAGTCATGTGAACATTATGGCTGAAAATTTGATTTTGCAAATCTACTTCCCCTTTATTCTTTTCAAAGTATTTTTTTAGTTGTAAATGGATACAATACCTTTATTTTTATGTGGTGCTAAGGATGGAACCTAGTGCCTTCCACATGAGAGGAGAGCATTCAGTCACTGAGCCACAACCTCAGCCCCCGTCCCCTTATTCTTTTTTTGTGCATTGGGTTCTTTGGGAATATTCACTTAGTGCAACTGACATGGGGATGTAAAGATTAAATTGGTGGAATTAGCAGACAAGAGACTTGTTAGAGCCTTGGAATCTTGTGAAAATTAAGGAACACAGTTCTTTCTGGTGAGTATAAGATCATACTATGGTTTTCATTTCCTAGCTCTGTCTCAGGGCTTACCCACACATCAGTGGTCTTAAATAGGCTGTACAAAAAAAAAATTATACTTTTTTTAAGTTGTAGATGGATACAGTAGCTTTGTGTTTGTTTTTTTATGTGGTGCTGAGGATCAAACCCAATGCCTCATGCATGTGAGGCAAGCACTCAGCTACTGAGCTACAAACCCCAGCCAGCTGTACAAAATTTGATGTACTTATTATATGCCATGTTTCCAACAGTTTGTTATGGTCAAGTCTCAATGAGTTGTTTTAAAAACAACAATAATCATGTTCTTTATTTGAGAGAGCAAATATTTATGGATTGCTTCGTATGTGCAAGGCATTAGAAATATGGAGAAACCTTAAAAAATATATATAGCATCTTGAAGATGTATGCAGTTTAATTGATAAGTTTATCACCTGTAAAATAATTTTGAAACAGGTATTTGAATACATAATAAGTAGACTTAGATATAATAAGTGCAGTAGACTTTCAAAGATAGGCTGAAGTTTTTTTTTTTTTTAATTTAAGTATTTTTTAGTTGTAGTTGGACACAATACCTTTATTTTATTATTTTTATGTTGTGCTGAGAATTGAACCCTGGGCCTCACGTGTGCTAGATGAGTGCTTTACCACTGAGCCATAACTCCAGCCCCAGACAGAAGTTTTTGAGAGGTCTTCATGGAGAAGTTGGGTCCTAGAAGGATGAAGTGATATGCATAGATAGGGTAGGAGTGGAGAACTGGAGAGCATTTTAAATACTGAAGAAGCACAGAAAATAGACCAGTAAGAAGATGTTACGTTATGTGATTAAGACAAGGGGGCAAGGAAGTGCTATTAGAATTGAGTGGAACAGTAAGAGTGCATGTTGCCATACAAGGTTTTTAATCCCAGCCAATCAGAAGGCTGAAGCAGGAGAATTTTGACTTCAAGGCTG